ATATATTAAAACTGAAATATAGTAATATATATCTGAAATATATAATAAAGCTGAGATATATATATATTTCCATAAATATATATCTGATATATTTCGGAATATATTTTTCATATATATATTTGAAATGTAGTAATAGATATTTATAGTAATTTCATAATTTGCACAAAAACTATATTTCCACAAATATATATCTGAAATATATCAGATATATAATATCAGAAATAATCATTATAAATTTATAATGGTATTTTGTTACATTAGGGATGTTCATCTTGAGAAACAAAATAATCATTATAAATTTATAATGGTATTTTGTTTTCAGGTGGATCCTAAAAGAAGTGAAAATGTGCATAGAGTTGATGAAGTTGAAGATCCAGTAGCAATCGGCTCAGAGCAACAAGATTCTGAGGTTGCAAATCCGGTAAAAAATCCCCATGCTCCTCGTAAAATTACTAGGACACAACCCACTAAACAAAACAAAAGGCAAGGTTCTAGATTAAAATCAGAAATTTGAGATCATTTCATTAAAATGGAGGATAAGGATGAACCTAGGGCTGCATGTAACTATTGTGGCAAAGACTACGCATGTGACACAAAAAATCATAACACTAGTAACATGTGGAGTCATTTGCAGCAACAGTGCATGAAATATCCCTATAGGGTTGATAAAAGGCAAAAGACATTGTCTTTTGAGCCTAAAAATGAAGGAGAAGATGGTCTCACTACTGGTAAGCTAAAAGCAGTGACCCTTAGTGTTGAGGAAGCTAGAAAGGAGCTTGCTAAAATGGTTATAATTGATGAATTGCCTTTTACGATTGTGGAGGGGGAAGGATTTAAAAACTACTCTCAAGCTTTGCAACCTAAGTTTACAGTCCCATCTCGTATCACAGTTTCTAGAGATTGCATGAAATTTTTCTTGAGGAGAAGAGGAAACTACAAAAAGTAATGAAAAATCAACATATGTCTTACCACTAGTACTTGGTCATCAATCCAAAATTTAAATTATATGTGCTTGACAGCACATTGGATTGATAGTGAATGGAACTTGAACAAAAAAATTTTAAACTTTTGTCAAGTTCCTAATTACACGGGAGAAACAATTGGTAAGACTATTGAGGATTGCTTGCTAGAATGGGGCATTGATGGAATTTTTACAATTACTGTTGATAATGCAAGTTCTAATGATGGTGCAATTAGATATTTAAAAAGAAGAACTAGGGATTGGAAAGACACCATCTTAGAACATGAATTCATGCATTTAAGATGTTCAGCTCGTATTGTGAATTTGATAGTGAAAGAAGGATTGGAAGACTTACATGAGTCTATTCTCAAAATCCAAAATGAAATAAGATATGTGAGATCATCTCCATCTAGGTTTCAAACTTTCAAAAGGTGTGTTGAGAAGGAGAAAATAGAAAATAAGAATCTTGTATGTCTTGATGTTGAGGCTAGGTGGAATTCTACCTATTTGATGTTGGAAGTTGCTGAAAATTTGAAAGAGCTTTTGATCGGCTAGGTGAGGATGACCCAAGATATCTCTTATACTTTGAAGGCGATGATGAGGATGAAAATGAGGAGAGTGGAGGTGGGAATAGGAGAGGAAAAGGGAGAGGGAATAAGCATATTGGGCCTCCTAATTATGATGATTGGGACAACGCTAGATGTTTTGTGAAATTCCTAAAGCTTTTCTATAATGTAACATTGTGGTTTTCGGGATCTCTTTATGTCACATCGAATGCATTTTTTCATGAACTCGTGGCATTGCAAACTAGGTTGGTTCGTTTGTCTAGAAGTGGAGACAATCTCTTGAGTTCTATGGCAGAGAGCATGAAACGAAAGTTTGATAAATATTGGGAGAACCTTGAAAATCTGAATTTCTTGTTATATGTTGCCATTGTTTTGGATCCTTGTTACAAATTAAAATATGTGAAATTTTGTTTTGGTCAAATATAAGATAGTTTGAGGGCTAGAGAGATGACCGAGAGAGTAGAGGCAACTCTTAATCGTTTATATTACCATTATCATGATCATGAATGCAATTCAAATCTTAATGCTGGACATGAAGCATCAAGTTCAAGTAAAGCTTCTAATGAGATGGATTTTGATGATAATGAAGAGGATACATGGAAATTCTTAGCATCTCAATTTGCAAAACACTTAGAAAGTGAAAAAATGTAGAAAGTAAATCTAAGGTTGCAAGGTATTTGTTAGAGAGTTGTGAAAAGCCAAGTGATTCATTTAACATTTTGATTTGGTGGAAAATGAATTCTCAAAAGTATCCTATACTTTCTCAAATAGCAAGAGATGTCTTGGTCATGCCAATTTCTACAATTGCTTCTAAATCGGCATTCAGCACAAGTGGGTGTTTACTTGATCCATTTAGGAGTTCACTATCTCCAAAAATGGTGGAGGCTCATATATGTGGTCAAGATTGGTTACGGTCCAAACCAATCCCAATTGATGTTTGATAAGCTATGGATGAAGTGGAAAAATATGAAGAAATTGCATTAGGTAATATTTGTTATCTTGTGAATAAACTTTCATGATATTATTTATAACATATAATTTTTTGGGTTACATACTAATATTTGTTTCTTTGTTTTAGAATTCTCAAGAACAACGGAACAAGTGTAATTAAGTGATGATGATTGATGTTTTGGTAAGACTTAATAATCTTTACAAGTGTAATTATTTTTTCTACAATTTAAATTTTCATTTTCCAAGTAATGTGACAATCTAAAACAAACTTTTCTTGTTTGTGGACACCTATATATCTCTCATCTCTATTCTCTAGAGTGTAAGTGGACACCTATATATCTCTCATCTCTATAGTGTAAGTGGACACCGGTTGGCAAAACGACTAGTGCAATGCTCTGGAGTCTGGAATCTAATGCTCAAATTTGGCTACACACCAGTTACCCTCCACAAAACTCGGTGGAAATTGGAATTGAAACAAGGCACTACACTACACTACACTACTCGTACAATGGATTTTGATCGAGTTCCATCCAAACTTTAGACTTTGAATTTTGTGACATCTTTACTTGAATTTCAACCAATGCAAGGGTTGAAAGAAAGATAGAGTTTCAACCGATCCAAAGGCTCCATTTCTTTTCATTAATTAAAGGAAATCAAATATTTTTCTTAAAGTTTTGGGTTTAACAATAAAAAGGGTTAAAAGAAAGATAGAGTTTTATATGGAACCCTTCACTACCGAGTTCATCAGTAGGTATGTTGTAAACATTAAAGATGACCCATTAGCGAATAAAAAAAGAGTACATGAATAAATGTTTGCCGTAAATTTCACCATTACTTATCTACAGTAGCAGGGAGCATCTTCTTAGCTTTTGTTGGAGCCAGCCGGCTTTGATAGTTTGATCCATCTATTACATAGTTTCCTACAGATTGAAAACTTGATCCAACAAATAGTACTCTGCTCCCTCCACAAAATCTGGATCCATGGATGGGCCACAAAACATTCCACCCCATTGGGGGAAGTATATCAAAGTAATTGGAAGAGTACAGACAAGCATCATGAGACCCATTAAGGAAATGTCGGTTTCCTTTGGAAACGTAGAGCCAGAAAAGAACAACAACCGAGTCACCACTACGTAGAGCTGAAACCGACCCAAACCGACTAGGCCGGTTTTGCTTAACACAGGGTCGGTTTCGGTTTCATTTTCAGGTAACCCGACCAAGTCAAGTCGGTTGGAAAAACATCAGTAAACCGACCCAACCCGACCCGTGAACAGCCCTAATATCTTTTCTAGTTTTTCCACTCATCCATCTTAGCATTCACATTTCTGCCATATGCAATTGCTGGACATGTTGTTTCTTGACTGCCTAACACTTTGCTCCATACAACATAGCTGGCCTTACAACTGTTTTATAGAAATTTCCTTTTAATCTAAGTGGTATTCGCCTATCACATAAAAGCCCAGATGCACCCCTCCATTTTGCCCATCCTGCTCTAATTCTTTGGGTGATATCCTCCTCAATCTCTCCCTTGTTATGAATTATTGAACCAAGGTAACAGAAATGGTCATATTGAGTTATCTCTTGGTCTTCAATCCCAAGTGTATCTTGATTTCACTCCTATTATTACTAAATTTACATGTCACATACTCTTTTTTAGTCCTACTTATTTTAAAACCTCTTGTTTCTAAGGCATTTGTCCATAAACTTAATTTTGCATTTACGCTTTCATTAGTTGCATCAATTAAAATAATGTCATCTGCAAACAACATGCACCATGGAACTTCCCCCCTGAATATGTTTAGTAGCAAAGTAGCACAAAGCAACTATCTTAATTTCTAAACAAACCTTGGATAATCATGAGATCAGAATTTCTTTCCTCTTTGGCAATATTATCCTTGTGAGGTTCACAAGATGCATATATTAAAAATGTCAGTAACCACCAATTCCTTGATGGTTAGATCCCATCAAGGTCTCCTGTGCCAAATACTAACCTGATTAAATGGGCGTATAATGACCTTTTGTGAAGGGAATAGTATTCTTCTAAACATGTAATAAAATTGGCAAAATGATCAAACAGCCACAATCATCAGATGTAGTTGAACCTTATACTTGGACTTCTTGTAGATGGGATGCTTTTAGGCTGGAGTTTTAGAATACAATATTGTAAACAATCAATGCCAGCTAGTAATGATCTTTCTAATTTGGTTTCTAGTTATAAATGTTTGATGTTAGGGTGTTTCCTCAAGCTCCTTTAATTTTATATAAAGTTTTCCTTTTATTTTATCAGCAGAAAATCTTATCCAGAAACATCAAGCCTGTATATTTTGTAGTTCCAAAGGTTATAGTTAGATAAATTTAACTCTCTACATTGGTTGTCAGAAAATAGGAAAAAATGTTCTCAGTTGAACAAAATCAATCCAACATTACCTCAATGCAGTTGAAATACAACTTTTTAGATAACCATATGTGCTAGGAGTGATATAGAAAAGATACTGCAATAAAGATGGATGAGAAAGCATTACCTCTGCTTTATCCCATGCTCCTCTTCTGGTTCCAGTCTTAAGGTTGGTAACAAGGACAGATCCCACTGTTACAGCATTCCCACCAGAATAGCCTGCAATTCATGTAAGACAACCATATCTAGATAAGCTGTGTTACAAGAACATATGGATCAAGGAAAATTACTAAGCAAACCTCTGATGAATTGGCGTGCTTCTTCCTTGTTGGATGGCTTTTCTCTGATTTTACCTTCAATAACTACCACCTCCAAATCATTTAAGTATACAAGTAAGATATAGTTTCAATATGTGTCATTTCCAACAAAATAGAGAAGTAAAAGATAACATCCTCTAAATTATTTATAAGCAACATATTTCATTAATATTAGGCCATCTATGATTCATCAACATCATCCAAGCCTTACCCAAACTATATGGGGTCAGCTAATTAGGCCATCTATGATTAAGGATACTGAAAGAAAGAAGGCAATCTCAAGCAGACCTAGCATAGAACAACAGAAGGATCAGGTTTGGACCTGGATATACCTGTATCTGAACTTGATCCTATTAATATTTGGATTTGAATGAAATTTTATCTGTTAGATTCAGAATGGACTCAGATAGAATTCAGATAATATAAAAATCATTTCTATGAAAATTGAACCTATAATCCATTGGATAAAACAACTAGACCAAGTTTTCTAATAAATAGATGCTGGTTTCCTATGAGTATATAAATATATGTCATAATATTGTTGGATTTGGATCTATTAGAATGGATTGGGGTGGATACTTTTTACAGCCCTAACATGCAGATTGCAGACATGAGACATCCATCATCCATAAAATTACATGGTAGGTGAAACACTTAAGATAAAATCATTGTTTCTCCATTGCACACAATCTACTATCCATGAGTTCTTGAGGAGATTACTTTAGGGGATAAAGCCATCTCAAATCAATCAAGTGATATATATATATACTGCAATGGCCTGAATCTACACCAAGATGTATAGTACAGGCAGGCAGGGCAGCTTTTCTCCATCTCTTATTTCAATGTAAATATGCTTCAAGACACAATGTCAAGAATTCAAGATACTTTATTGTATAATTAGTAGTTATAACTGCAACACACTATTGTCCTTGTCTTCCACAACCAACAATGAAGCAAAATATGTGGGCACTTAAATAGCATGTTGGAGATAAAACCCAACTATCACTAATGCCAAAAACCAATATAAGCACATATAGTTGAAAGCAACAATATTACATCATATGAACCATGGAATGCTTAGGATCAGACCCCATTTTTTTCTGTTGCCAAAAACCAAATGAGAACAAGGTTACGAGCACCATATTACATCCAACAAAATTCCATGAAGTGAATCATTTTATCATGTCAGTGATTATGTGCAACATGGCATTAGACAATTTGTCGGATTGAGGAAATAAAGAAGGAATTGAGTTATACTTGATCTGCGGTAATTAGAAGTGTTGGGACAGCGTCTTTGTCTTTGCAATCAGTGTTTTGGAGCGTTGAAATGATAGCATCTGCCTGAGAAGAAATTTCCATTCAAGTGAGATAAGTGATCTGAAAACTTTCCTCCACTATTCCTAATTCCCAAACTAGCAGAACGGACATAGAAATCATAATCTTCTTTTTCAGAGAAACAAACAGAAAATACATACTGGAAAAAGTGTAATGGATCAAATCATTAAGCATGTTAGAAAATGGGAGTTTAATGCCAGCCAAAATTCACTAATATCTAATTACTATTTCACTGTTATTTCTAAATAGGCATGTAATCCATGTTTTGGGATGATAAAAAAACTAAGGTTGAATATAAGGTGAACCTAACAGTGCAAACAGAGGGGAAACATATTGAGTGCACCTTTAGTAAAAATATGAGTAGAAATGAGGACATAGTAAACTTAAGTAATTAGGCTTTCTTTTCATAAACTCACAGTATTTCTGAAAACATTATCATTTCAAATTTTTACATTGAAATAGAGAACTCTGTAGTCGAATAGGACTACAATCAGTCCTAGGTTTAATGTCCAATTAACAAAGAAAGATTGAGAAAAGAGAAGAAGAAAAGAGAAGAGAAGAGGAGAAGAAGAGTTCGAAGAAGAGATTTAGAAAAGGGAGAGACAATTAACTGCCGTCCCACTCTTACAATTTATATTAATTCTCAAATAAAAGTAAAAGGGCTGAATTACCCTTACTGCTTACATGGCAAAAAGTAAAAGAAACTAATAATTATAAACTGAAATAACTACCAACTAACAACTGAAATAAATAATTGCTAACTACAGTCATACGAGTACAGTACAGTGGGAACCACATCAGTGTTCTCTACACTTCCCCTCAAGTTGGGAATAGATGTCTATCATTCTCAACTTGCATAGATCTGCTTCTAACTTCTTCTTTGAAACAGTCTTGGTGAGAAGGTCTGCAAGTTGCATGTTGGAGGTGATATATGGAAGGCATACTTCTTGAGATGCAACCTTTTTCTCTAATAAAATGTCGGTTTACTTCAATATGCTTAGTTCTGTCATGTTGTACCGGATTATAGACTATATTAATAGCAGCCTGATTACCACAGTACAACATTAGGGATTTCTCATAGGCAATACCCAACTCCTCAAAAAGTGATTTCAACCATAGTATTTCAGCCACACCATTTGCCATGGACCTATATTCAGCTTCAGCACTAGAACGAGAAACAACATTTTGTTTGTTTCTTTACTCCTCCAAGAGACAAGATTACCTCCTACAAAAGCATAATATCCAAAGGTAGACATTATATCATCAACACACCCAGCCCAATCAGCATCTGTGTAAACTGAAGGGATGAGAGATCCATCACATAGATGGTCGAACCCTGTAGGAAGGTAGGGTGAAATTTCAAAAATTTCTCTCTCTCCCATCTGGGAATCGCATTCCCTATTTTAGAAAACTGCATTTTCAATGATCAATCTTGAACCAAAACCGGACCAAATCTGAAACCAAAGGGATGATAGGGATATACCTGATACGAAGTAGCAGTAACTCCCAATGAAGGTGTTCACGCCCAAAGAGAAAACCAAAACCCGCTTCCACTGAAGATGACACAGTGTGTAGTGAAACAGGATCAGTAGGACAGCTCTTCAACAAGAACCGAATTCTTCAGCAAGAATGGAGTAGAGGGCTAATGAGAACGACACCAGATTGCTTCTTCTACCAAGAAGCAATATCAAGAGCAATTCTTGATCACTCCCACAAGTGGAGATCGAACTGGGTAAGGGCGGCAAGAACAGGGGAGAACTCTGCAGATTGCTGTTTTTTGGTATAACTGAGGAATTCACCCCCTTTATTTATAGCCTTCTCAGGATCAGCCTCCTAATCCAATTAGGAGATAGTTCCTTAATCCAAATATGATATTTGGATCTAGACTCTTGAATGGATAAGACTTATTTTATCCTTCAACTAATCCTAATCAGATTATAAATCCTATCTTGCCTCCTTTTAATTAACTAACTTAAGCCCAGTTCGAATTGGTCTTTAAGCCCATTAAGTTTATGTGCTCACTTAACCTCTTAACCTGTTGCTCAGTTAGCTCTCTTTGTATGGCGTAGGACCCAAATATTGATCTACACATCAGCCACATGGGTTCAGCCCAACCTTTGTTACAAGGTCTGGCCCAATTCATTGTAGGAGATAGTAAACCCCTGAGTCCATCACTATGGGCTCTTAATGGGCCCAACATTTACACTAAATGGTCATTGGGTCCAGCCACCTTATGAAAACCCAATGACTGTGGGCAAATGCAAGATTAGCCCATTAGGCATTACCCTCAGTGGTCTTACACTTAACCTCTCAATCCATAATGATCAAACACTGTCCAACAAGAGAAAACCTCTCCCTTGGCTGCAAAGAACAGTGTTGCACTCTCTACTCACATAGATCCCGGGAATTAAAACCTTGTGCAAACATTTTGAAACCATAATATATATATGTATATCTCTATATAAATATATTTTGCAAAAACAAATTTCAACGGTTGAAATCAACTACCGGCAGTTCAGGTTTCCATCAGAGAGAGTGCATCCCTGATCATTCACTTTGTCCAACAAAGGGGTTGATCCTGTCAATATGATCACCCACTCAGATGAATTCTCGGACTGTCCCAACATACTCAGGTTTTGACCCCCTCTAAGGATCTCACTGATTGGCATATCAAAGACAGCCCGATCCGACACCTAGTGCAGTACCATAATCGAGTCTAGGGGTCAGGTGCAACATTCCAATTTTGCCCATCTATCTCCAAGGTCCAGGGCAAT